GACACTCAATGCCACAGGAGCATAATGGGCCTGATAAAGCTATGTCTATAAGCATCCCACCACTGTGAACACAATCCTTTAGAGAGATTACAAGTAGATCCAGAACTGGTTTAGCACCACTTCCCTGGGCTGATGAATCATCCAGCAACAGTAATCAGTCACCACTAATCCAGTATTGTTAGATCTGAGATTAAGTTTATTGGACCTCATCCAGCCCATTACTGATCCCGGACATGGGTTTATCACTTCCGTGTCCTTACCCGACTCTAATAGAGACACGGAGCTGGGTTTCACCAGGATACTGGCCAACGCCTCATTTCAAATCCCTGGATGACCTTGGTCAGCGGCTTCATGTAGACACTAAAAAGCATGAGGGAGAAGATGAATATCTGTGATGGGTCGTCTTAGCATGAGTGCCATGGGGCCCAGCAGTACATTACAGTACCATCTTCTGAAATTTGTCCTCTAGGTAGGAATAGAACCACTGAAACACATCAGTACCAATCCTGAAACCCGTGAGAGTCTAGTCGATAGTACAGAAGGCATCAACCTAAGAGAATTATCAGAGTCACACTGTCCTCCTACCATAGTCATCCACCAGGGTAAGCAAGGCAATTTCTGTGTCAATGCTAGGCCTGAAACCAGATTGGATTGAGCTCAGAAATTCAGTCTCATGCAAGAGTGCCTAGAGTCCCATAGCAACTACCCACTTGCCCAAGAGTGGGATGTTTGTGACCAAACAATAGTTGTTACAACCCTTGGGGTCCATTGTGGCTTTCTTTAGGAAAAGTCTCCCAACTAAATTTGCCCATGCTTGCGCTCTTAATTATCAGGGGTCAGGAAGGACTTTTCTCCAGGTAAAATTTGCTAATGGCACCAGGATTCTTTGGGCTTTCTTTAAAGCTTGTCGTCTTGGCTAAGCTACACAAATCACCTATAGCTCCAGCTTTGGAGCACCTCTTGCCTCTTGCAGCACCTCTGCTCTCTGCTTGCAGCACGTTGTCTCTAAAAGCACAGATCAGTTGGAAACCTGCTAGGCAAATAATTCTAGTTTTGGACAGGAAGTTGGGGTAGATGAGTTTTTGGCTCCTTCCAACTTCATGATTCAATGTGATCACTTTAAAAAGAAACCAATTGAAGCACACCTGGGTGAATGAGTGCCAGTCTACAATACGAATGTGTACAGCAACACACACAGCAACTCCTGTTGCCAAAAGCTATAGTGTTAGCATACTGACATCTAGCACCCTAAAACTTTAATGCAATGTAGAGCAAGTCTTCTATGACAAGTAGCAGAATATGCAGAGCAGCTTTGTCAACGTGACTTATATTTGACACTCACCCTTTGTTCCTCATTGACAATACCTTCTCTCCCTCCACCCCCATGTTTTCTGATGCAAATCTTAAGCAGGGGCCATAAGACTTTCACATCCTGAATAGTGCTCAGAGTGCTCTTAGTAGTTTCACTGATTTGTTAATACTAACAACTAAGAAAACAAGCCATGTTTCCATCTATAGAGTATTACGACTGCTATGATTCATTTAAGAACAAAATGGCTACTTCTGGTGTTTTGGGAGACAATGTTTAACATTAACTTAGTGTTCCTTTTGTTATCAGATATGCTACAGTTCAGCTCATTATAACCTTCAAATGGGAAGAACTAGGATTAAAACTATTTGCGTGTTCATCATAATCAGCTAAACTGTAACTGATAAGCTCTGAAATGGAACAACATAGTTCAAAGACTGATACAATATTCTAATACATTTTAGATGCCACAGATACAGTGTAACTTAATAGTGGCCTTGCTTGTTTTGATATCTTTGGGCTGCTTTGCTCAAATTCTGTAAACAGAGTTACAATGAAGACAAAACTACAAGCCTTCTCCCCATCTCTCTGTGGCAGACTGCATGCCTTCTAATGTCACACACATGCCTTCTAATGTCACACACAAACACACACACTTATATTTGACTTTTAAAAAGTTTGCAGAAGTTTGAAAGACTAATTTAAAGAAATAGAAGGAAAACCAACTGACAAAGGATTGATCTTCACACCGCAGTGTACCTGTTTTCCCTCACATGTGTCCACCTGTTTCCCGAATGAACTGTATTGCCTTTTTCAACGACAGCATTTATGCATCAATATCCCAGAAATGGACGCGGGTGGCGCTGTGGGTAAAAGCCTCAGCACCTAGGGCTTGCCGATTGAAAGGTCGGCGGTTCAAATCCCCGCGGCGGGGTGCGCTCCCGTTGTTCGGTCCCAGCGCCTGCCAACCTAGCAGTTCGAAAGCACCCCCAGGTGCAAGTAGATAAATAGGGACCGCTTACTAGCGGGAAGGTAAACGGCGTTTCCGTGTGCGGCTCTGGCTCACCAGAGCAGCAATGTCACGCTGGCCACGTGACCCGGAAAGTGTCTCCGGACGGCGCTGGCCCCCGGCCTCTTGAGTGAGATGGGCGCACAACCCTAGAGTCTGTCAAGACTGGCCCGTACAGGCAGGGGTACCTTTACCTTTACCTTTATCCCAGAAATGTGGGGATTTGGTTATTTATTTATTGCTGTTATACCACACCTTTCCTCCAAGTAGCTCAAGGTGTTGTGCAGGGTTCTACCCACTTCCCTATTTTATTATCACAATCGCGCTGTAAAGTAGGTTGGGCTGAGAGGTGACAGGCCCAAGGTCACCCAGTGAGTTTCATGGCTCAGTGGGCATCTGAACACCTTGGTCTCCTAGGTTCTAGTCCAGCACCCTAAACACTGCCCTACACTGGTTATAGGGAGTGCTTTTATTTTAAGTTTTACCTTCTTAATATAAGTACTACTCCACTGTATCTAAGAGTCTTACTTACCACTTCAGTTTACTCTGTGCATTTTATAAAGTAGAACATTGCCTATGAAAGGTCACGTTGCAATATTAATGCTGCTAAGGCACTTTTGCTGGGTTCCTGAGAACTGCTTAGGCTAAATGGATTCAAGTTACCAGAAAGGAGATTCCAACTATATATCAGGAAGAACTTTCTGACAGCAAGAGCTGTTACAGGCGGTGAAACAGTCTCCCTCGGGAGGTGGTGGACTCTCCTTCATTGAAGGTTTTTAAGCAGAGGTTGGATGGCCATTTGCCATGGGTGCTTTAGTTGAGAAATTCCTGCATTGTGGGGGGTTGGGCTAGATGATCCTCAGGGTCCCTTCCAACTCTACAATTCCACCCCCAATGAACAGCTGTCCCCTCTGCAAAAGCACAAAATGCTTTTGAGCACTCCTGCCACCCCAATTTCATATGTAGGTTGTCATGCAGGGTAACAAGGGGCTGTGGGCAGTTTTAGAAAAAACACGGTTTAAGCTCGCTTGGACTCATGGAACTGGTTTTCTGGTTCTTTGGAATCTGTCTTCTATCTTTTTGCAGTTAACATTACTATCACACACAAATTCAGTAACTTCAGAGTGAGGGGGGGGGGGATTCTGATTCTGCAACAGATTTACTCCTGGGCTTTTTCCCTGCTGAAAGTAATGAGTAATGAGTAATGTTTAAGATTACAGCCACGCCATTACTTTCCAACGCTAAAAGTAAAAAGTCATAAAAACAAATGCCAATGTTCCTCTCCAATAGCCAGTGTGAGAAAAAACATGCATGCACAAACAACTTATGACAGGGTGCAAATACACTTAGCTGAATTTCTACAGAAAAGAAGAAGTGGAAAAGCTATTAGGCAGATAAAGTTACTAGGTACCAAGTATAGTACCCACCATTATGTGAATGTCAATAAATACTTTTAGATAACCTTAATCTATCTATGTATTTGTTTAGTTAGCAAATTTAAGTAAACTTAAATAATAAAGACTTACTAAAACAATATTTTGTGCTGTGTAGCCGTGTGCCACCCTGTGTTTGTTTGAATCTTGAGCCTGCAAACACAAATTGCAACAAGTTATTTTTATTTATTTCAATTCTATTCTGCTCTTCAGCCCCGGATCACAGAGCAGTTTACTGTATAAAAATAGAAAAATAACATTACATAGTAACAAACAAAGTCAATAAATTCTGTCAATGACACAAACAGGGAAAACACAATACATAAAAGGAAGATACATGCATGTTTGCAAGATTTGGAATCATAGTCTTACAAGACTAGAAAGAATAATTAGAAATCCTATTATAAAGTATCTAAGAGTTGATGTTTCTGAGTCTAAGTAGTCAGGTGTTAATGCAAAAACCCCTGCACACAAACCTGTGAATTCAGGCTAAGCACAGGTATTATCCCCAAAATTAACTTGTACAGAGTAGCTTCTGCAGCTCAGAGTCCCACCCTCCCAGGTCAGGCGGGAAAATGCCTGCAAGGAAAGGATCAGGTCTTCCAGGACTCGCAACAAAGATGCTACCATAGAGCATAGTGATCATTAGCTATGCAATTACTTCCAGCCAAGTGCCTCTGAACATGTGCAGAATGCTCTTTGCATACGTGTAAGAACAAGCACCAAGCTTAATAATATATATTAATAATAATAATAATACAACGCAAAGGATCTCTGCATACGCAGAGTGCCTGTCACCCGAGGGGCAGCTGCGTTTTAAAAAATCGAAAGGCACAACGCCTTGTGCAAAGCGCTTTTAGAGTTTGGCGGCTGTTGTTTTCAAGCGCATCTTTGTAGGAAAAAAGGGAAACGATGGCCAGCATGTGCCTCTCTCTCTCTAACCGGCCAGGATGATGTCGAAAAGAAATACGGCCACCGCCCCAAACCCATGCATATCAGCTCTCCTTCCCGGGTCCCCCCAGCCCACGCCACTCCCGACTCGCGGGCTCGCCTACAACATCGCAGGCGGCACCTCCCTAGCGCCGCTCTAGGCGTTGCGGTCTCTATTTCTCCTCCGAAAGGAGCAGGAGGCGGGGATGCGAAAGGAGCAGGAGGCGGGGATGCGCGCGCGCGACTTCTCCGGTTGGGCGCTCGCAGAACCTCGGAAGCGGCGGGCGAGAGGGAGGCGGGAAGGCTCCGCGCACGCGCAGGCCGGGGGGGGGGAGGCAGAAGAAGGCAGAGTCGCTGCGCCCGCTGTCCGCCTGCTTTGTATTTCCTCTTCTCTGTGTGGTTTCCTTCCCCCACCTCATTATTATTATTATTATTTATTAATTATTTCCTCGCCTCCTTATACCTGGCCCTCAGAGTTCTTCTCTCTGCACTTTGTTTTATACGTCTCTCTCTCTCCTGGGGCTTTTTTAAAAGCACCTTCCCACGTGTCCCTCAGGCTTCACCTGGCAGCTCTCTCAACCCTCACCTACTTTTTGCAGAAGGTGCTGTGCAGCCCCATGTTGCAGCAGGTTTAAAGAAGTCCTGGTCTGTGAGATGCCACGTGCACTGCTCCCCCCTCCCATTCCCTCATTTTTCCCTTCATTTTTCTGAGTGTGTAAAGGTCAGGGATGGAGATGGCCAAAGGGGTCTCTGGGGGACCTGGGAGCCCCTTTTTGCAAAAAGGCACCTGTGCTGGTGGTGGCTCAGGGCTTACCCAGCGCCAAAGTCCAGTCGCCCCATCTCCTCCTCCCTTCCTGGAGGGACCTCAGTCGCAGTCCGCCGCATCATTCAGTAGGGAAGGCAGAGAAAGCAATGAGATTCAGGTGGTATGTTCCATATTCTGCTTTCGCTCTCGGTTGTCTTTGTGCATCTGCAAAGTTTGTCAATGGGTGCTGAATCTAAATACTGTATACTCAACTTCAGGAATGGTTGTTAATGTGAGCTGCTGCAGAGCATCAGCAAACATAACCTTAGCGACAAGGTCTTTTTCTTTTGGTCAGGCTGATGCTACCAGGGGTAGCTAATGGGGTGCGCTCCAGATGTTTTGAACTACAAATCTTATCATCTCTGACCATTAGGCCATGCTGGTGGGATTTATGGTCAAAACGTTAGGAGGGTGCCATGGGAAGTTTGCCTGGTGCCATCATTATACGCTATATCATTAGATGCCAGGCAAAATCTATAAGCAGGCTTTTGGCCTTTAAATATTTGTTGCCTTTTGGAAGTGGATAGGATGTTTTCAATGTATTTCTTTTTTCTCTTGGTTTTAATGTAACTATGTGGGGGATTCCCCCCCTGCCCTTGTTGGGTTGTAGGTGGCTTTGGGTTGGCCTGGGCAAGTTAAAATGACTAACAAATTCAATAAAGAGTAATAATAATAATAATAATAATAATAATAATAATAATGCTGTAATAGTCGTCGTTTGAGGCCTTTCCCCAGCTGTGTGGATTGTTCTAGAGAAGCAAGATGGTGTAATCTTGAGGGCTAAAGGTTCATTCAAATGCATGTAACAAAACCTTGTCAGCTGTGGTTTGTTTGCTTGTTTTAAAAGGAAAGCCATTCCAGAAGTGGCTGACTTGAAGTGGAGAAGTGTGCTTCCCAGCATATTGCTTTTCTGTTGTAAATTTTCCCCATCCAAATCAGCTTGTTCCTTAAAATAGCAATAATAGTTGTGGTTTTGTCACATGCTATTAGCATGTAATGTTAAGTTAGCTCCTACTTTTACGTTCCTGAACTTAAGGACTGCTGGGAATGCTTCCAATAACCGTGTATGTTTAAAAGCATGTTGTGGAAAAGATACGCTCATTTCTGAGATAAGTGGATATCCTAAGAGTTTGTAAGCATACAATCCTAAGCATTGTAAACATGCTTTTAAGCATGATATGTTCCTTGGGAAGATGTATGTTCCCTAAGCTAGCTTCTAGAGAGTTTTGCTAAATAAGGGGTGAGAGACTCTGTTGGCCATTCTGTCTGCCTTGCCCAACGCCCAAGACCAGGGGTGGCCAACTCCCAAGAGACTGTGATCTACTCACAGTTAAAAACTGGCAGTGATCTACCCCCTTTTTTGGGGTTCAGGTCAACGTTGTTGAGCTTTTTTCAGGGAGGAGCCAGTGATCTACTGGTAGATCACAATTTACCTGTTGGACATGCCTGCCCTAGACCTAGGAGCCTTCTTAAAGGAACTGTTTTCAGAGGAAGAAATGCGAGGGGGGGAGAAACTCTGTGGTTGCTATCAGGAAATGGTAGGTTTCACCTGTGTTGCCTCACCCTCCAGCCCCAGGAGCCTTTATGAGGGAGTTGCTTAAAGGATACTTTGACATGACACATTATTAAGTTGCATGCTTACTTAAACATTGATATATGTGAAATAAACCATTAATCATTGATTATATATATATTTACTATGCCTTGTAATTATTGTTTTACTGTATTTAGACTTTGATTTTTCTGTGAACCACTTTGAGCACATATACAACTTAAATATACAGCTTAAAATCAGGAGGAGGGTGGGGACTTCATATTCATAGTGCCTCTAAAGTACAGGGGGAAGGTATGCTTACCGTGTGAGCTTGACAATCAGATTTGTAGACCTTTGCACATACATTATTTCCCTAGGGGAATAATCAGGGATGGGGAACTTGTGACCTTCTAGATGTTGTTGTATTTAAACTCCTCCCATAATCCCTCACTGTTGGAAGTTCAACATTTGGGGGACCACAGGTTCTTCATCCCTGATTTAGCTGCTCATTTCTTAAGACATGGGCATGCATGCTTGCGTTTCCCTGAACATAGCAAAATAGAGATACTGAAAGTGAACTTAAATGTTGACTCTAAATGAAAGGGGGGGGAGTTATTTTTGTCCTTTTAGCAAACCACATTTTGCTGTGTGGCTAATTGTTTAGAGAAAAAAAGTGTTAACAATTGAATAACAAATACCGTATTTTTTGCTCTATAAGACTCACTTTTTCCCTCCTAAAAAGTAAGGGGAAATGTGTGTGCGTCTTATGGAGCGAATGCAGGCTGCGCAGCTATAAAGAAGCCAGAACAGCAAGAGGGATCGCTGCTTTCGCTGCACAGCGATCCCTCTTGCTGTTCTGGCTTCTGGGATTCAGAATATTTTTTTTCTTGTTTTCCTCCTCCAAAAACTAGGTGCATCTTATGGTCTGGTGCATCTTATAGAGTGAAAAATACGGCTTGATAATGCTCCTCCAATGTTATTGGTCACAGGAGTTCATCTCTTCATCCAGTTATAATAATATTAGAATAATAAGATTTTGAATTTACAAAACCTGATTTAAACTAGGGGATTATGAAATACAAAATCAGTTTACTATTCTTGATAAAGAACTGTGTAATTGATAAGTGTGAAATTATGCCAGTCAGTTTGAAGCAGTCCATAGAAGTAATAACTACTACTAATTTTCATTTCAATTTATTAGTTGTTAAAATAACAATAATAAATAACAGAGCAATATTGAAGGATAAAAAGCTGTTTGTAAAGAAAACGACAGTGTCCTTTGTTTTCTGCTCAAAAACTATTGTGTGTATTTGATTAGTGGATATAATAAAAGTAAGCTTTTTGTGGAGCAGGGAATTAAATCTTGGTGCATTTTTGCTGATTCTATGTCATGTATTCTTACTCCTTGTAGTCCATAATTCTGCCAGTTTACAATGCTGAGTGCTGGCTGGATGAATGCCTGAAGTCTGTTCTGGAGCAAGACTTCCAAGGTTCCATGGAACTATCTGTTTTTAACGATGCTAGTATGGTATGTACCTGTCAGTATACTGTTCTAGTTCTACTGCACAATTATCATTTGAATACCAATTCCAGGAATGTGTTCTTACTGTGTTTATTTCACCAGGGGTGGGGGACCTTTTTGGGGGTGAGAGCTGTATTACCCTGCTGGAATGCTGTCAGGGGTCCACCTTCCAAAGTGGATTGGGGGGGGTCAGTCCCAATAGTGTGTGGTGTCAGAGATACAAACTCACACCTTTAACACACGCAGACATACTCCCAGTCAGACCCTTCCCCTTCTTCTTCCTCCTGCTCCCAATTCCTTAGTTTGTGGGAAAGAAAAGGGCTCTCTCCCTGATGTAGCATAATTGTTGTATCAAAACTGGCTGTTTTGCAAAGGGACTTTCAGGAGCTGAGCTGGATTGAAATGGAAGGGGGGACAATCATTTTGCTCTGGCTTTTAAAAGGAGTTCTGTTCCCTCTCCATCCCCATGTCTTGGTGCCATTTTGTTAGTGTCATCTGTTGAGCTTGGGTGCAATACTGTAGCTCCAGCCAGCTCTTCTGTAATCAGCTTGAGCTCTGAAAGCTCTGGGGTAGTAGTGGGATACGGAAAAGGCTGAGGCTGAGGTACCTTGCAGATGGGTTTGGTCTTTGTGTGCAACTCTTCCTCCTTGAGCTGTCTTCCTCTTTTGCCACCCAGCAGACCACAGGGGTCTGTGTGCTTTTCTTGGGACTCCCTGCCTACCTGATTCAGAGAAGAGGAAGTTGTGCTCCTCAGCAGAGCCTTCCAGAAACTCCTGATGATGTCCAAGTGTGCCTGAAAAGCACTGGAAGATGTCATTGGTGTCAGATTGTGGGCAAATACTTATAAAAGTGCAGTTTAAAAGCAGTATGTCGACTCGGCTGTGACTTTGCAGTGACCTTTTCCCTTCTCACACGTAGCAATAAGATGTGGGAAAGAAATGCGAGGAATTAAATGTTTAACTTTTAAACATTATACCTACTCAGTGTCAATATTTCTAAACAGGACAATTCAGGAAATATATTAAAAAAGTGGAAGGTTCTATTGGAAGAAGCAGGCATTCAGATGGTACTTGGAGAAAATGATTCATCTCAGCCACGAGGAGGTAGGTGCCTTAAAAGAACAGCAGCTATTCAGGACAGTGGGATAACTTAGTTTTCTGCATAACAGCTTCCCACGAGTTGCGTAGCATTCTAGAACATTCTGTTTGTCAGTGCATCCACGTTCAGACCAAGACTCTTCCTTAATAACTGTCAGAAGTGACTCTCTTTTTGAGGTTGCTGAGGTTTCCTTTTATGTGCCAAAACGGAATTTAGCCTAATACTAAGTACACTGTTGCTGCAATCTTAACAACTCTTATGAGGGAGTAAGCCCAATTGAACACAGTTGGACTTATTTCTAAGCAAGCGTGCATAGGATTGTGCTGTATGCAGAAAAATAAGTCCCACTGAAAATCAATGGGACTTCTGTTTAATGGGTTTAGAATCACATTGTAAATCATCATGACTCTGTTGGCAAAAGAAAATAGTTAGATTCACCGTATCTTACATTGCTGGAAATTCACACCAGTTTTTCCTCAGTTCTCTAGTCAGTTTTTCAATACGCGTTTAAGAGGCAAATAATATATGGCATAACTTAGCTTAGGGATGGCCAGGAAATAAATGTTGTGTGGATTGAGAGAGAGCCATCACCTTTGCTGCAGACTGGGAAAAAGCCAGGTTTGTTATGTGCTAGACTGAAAAAGTACAAATGAGGTTAAATTGTGATCCAAGCCAAAATAAATAGCTCTGGAATTGTTGTAATAGGCTGGAAAGTAATGGATTCGAGTTGAATTGCCAAGTGTGACCACTCCAGAATGAAGATCAGCTCAGTGAGATGTGAACTGTAAACGTTTGTATTGAGTTTTAAAGCTTGCTGTCCTTTCTCTGTGAGATGGTGAAAAAGGATAGCATGTTGGTGTTATGAGCAAGAGGGAATCTAAGAGCTAAGGAGGAAAATGATGACATTAATTTAGGAAATGCTTTCTTTGTTTTCCAGAATAAATTTTTCGTATACTTTTATTTAGGAAGTTTTAGTTTGTGTTTTCCTCCCTTATCTTGTTAAACATAAAATCATCTCTGTAATATAATAATGTTGTTGCTTTTCCCCATTGATATCTATAATTTATTTATATTCATGCTTATTTTGAAGTTGCAAGTAATGGAAAAAAGGGGGGAAATGCATATTTAAACTGTAAAAACTTATAATTTGACTCTTACATAAAAAGAGGGAAAATACAAGTTACATGCAAATATGTACAATGTACCCCGATGGACTATGCTTTTAAGGAAAACAACTCTGAGAAAGGGACTCTTTGGAAAGGCGACATTTAATGTCTTTGCTGCCTACCACTTTCCTGCTCCTGCTCCTCTCAACTGCTCTTCCTTTCTCAAATTTTGATCTCTATGTTTTGACCTCACAGCATTGTCTTTCCCTCTGCTGCTTCTCAACTGTGTGTTAACCCCCTTCCAACATTTTTCTAGTTGTAAACTGGAAATGGGTCAACTAAGATTTCCAAGCCTCTTCCCATTATCTCTTTCCCAACAAACACAAGCTAAGGGGCAAAGGGGGCATTTGCCTAACCAAGAATCTCCTAGAGGGATAATGGGCTCACCTGGGGGTTGGGCTTCTGGCTGAAGTGGGGGCTTGTGCTAGGTACAGAGTCCAGGAAGACCAAGTCATGTACTGATAGCACCTGTTTCAGATCCAGGAAGCAAAGTTAGGTCAAATTCCAGTGAGACAAGGTCATGGTAAGCAGAAGGTAAATCCAGATAAACAAGGTCAAGTAATGCAGAGGTCAAAGTCCAAAAGGCAAAGAAAGGAAGGTCGGTAGCACCTTGGATAGCTCAAAGTGAAGCCTAGACTGGAATTCATACAAGACAAGCTTGAATGTTTTTTCAACAACTAGCAATGCTAGACGGAGGGCTTATCCACACTTACCTTTCCTCCACTCTTTCCAGGCATGGTCCAAGATTTAAAGCTCTGTGTTTAAGCACCCCCTTTTTGCTCTAGAGCTTTCCCCACAAAAACCTGCTCTTTAAAGCGCAATTGGAACAAACATCAATCTGCGGAAAACCTGAATTGACGTTTGTTCTGAGTCAGTTTTAAAGATTGGATTTTCACTGGGAAAGCTTCGTGGCAAGGGGGAAACCCATCGCTTAGACACAAAGCATTAAAGTGCAGACCTCTGCCTGGAAAGAGCAAAGCAAAAGGTAAGTGTGGAAAAGTGTGCAGTCTTAAACAAGCTCAGAGGGTAAGCTAGCCAGCCAGTGTGGTATAATAATTGGCAAATACTGGACTGGGATCTGGGAGAACAGGGTTCAAACTCCCACTCTGTCATGATGCTCATGAGGTGACCTTGGGCCAGTCAGTGCCTCTCAGCCAAACCCACCACCCAGTGTTATGGTGAGGATAACATGGAGAGGAGAGGGATTTGCTTCTTCCTGTTAGAATATCAGTAGTAATATGTGCACCCTTTGTGGTATTGCAGCCCAGTTCGAAACATTTTCACATGAAAGTAAATACATGATGACCTGAGTGAAGCCTGCTGTTCTTTCCGCATAGTTGATTCCCTCCATCAGATGTGGCCCCCTCATTTACTGTAACTATTCCTTGTATTTACCAACAATTCCTCAAGTTTATGGGTTGTTACATGGTGGCTACTACAGAAGCATAAAACTGTTCCTTAGACACTCATTAAAGCCTGAGCCTCTTTTGGAAGCTGTGTAACATTGAAAAAACAACCATAGACTTGGGGAAAATACTACAATTCTACAAAATACCAAATAATTATTTGACATTTGGTTTCCAGGCTAATATGCATATGATTGGTAAAGTGTTAGGGTTTGGGAGTCTTAGTTTTTACTTTAAAAAAGTACATTTTATGATGTGAAAAAATGCATAGACACAGGAAGGAAAAAACCCTATGGATTCTGAATTTTCCCAGTCATTGGTAAATTGGATTAGGAAAGGTGTATTTTGTTCAAACTATATACCTTTAAAAGCAGGTTGCCATGCAGTAATCATTTTCTAGTGTGGAGCAGCTCGTTCGTATTTACATTTGGGCAGCCAGTTTAGATGGAAATCTTTGTGACCCCTTTGTCCTTAGTGATTTACTTTCCTGTGGTTAAGAGTAGTTAAAACTTGTAGGGAGTACTTCCTTTGAAACAAGCAGCCCCAATAACGAAACAAATGTGACAGTCTTCACGTCCTGGATTGTTTACCCTGTATTAAGATTCATTTCTGATTCTTTTCTGCCATGGAAAAGGAAAAAGGAAAACAAAAGGGAAACCTCCCCCCACAAAAGAGAGGGGTCAGTGGCTTTAAAGAAACTAACACAAAACAACTTCTTTCCAAGAGTGAGGAATGTTAATATCTCACGGGGTCTTAGTTTCCCCCCTCCTGTGACCATGGTAACAGGCTCTTTTTGCTAAGTAAGCAGGCCTTGCAAAATGCAAAGCCTTGGCACAAACATTTGAGTCTCATCAGTATAGCAATATTGCAGCGAATTCTTTGCTTATGCCAAACAAAATTCATTGCCTTAGACCAGTTGTTTAAATAATCCAGTTTCCATGCGGAATAAAATCTTTTGGAAATCCTATAATTGTGCTGATGTCAAAAGGGCATTTTATGACTAGCTAACTACCAAAACTTTTGGTGTCTTGTTTTTAATTAAGCTTACTTCTAAACTATTTGCACTTGAACGAATAAACAAACATGATTGTTTCTCCTCTGACCCACTTATCTCACCAGCTTGTTACCCATATGTGCATTTAAGTGCTGACCTTTTAAAATATTTGTAAGGTTGTTTTGACTTAAATAATTTTTTTTAAGCATATCCTTAAACCTTGCCTGTCACATGAATAACCAAATGTTCTCCAACGTTCATATATTATGAAATCCGAATGACTCAAGTCAGCCTTTATGACTGATTTTGTGATGTGTAAAAGCAGCAACATATGGATCAAGCTACTTATTGAGTGTTGGGCAAGTGATTTAAATGACAATGAATCTAAATTTCTGGCTACCTTTCATCACAGTGGCGACCCCACAAGCTTCCTTATAAGAATCATCCATGACTGATTTTATGACCTTTGAATGTGCCCTTAATCATAGCATCCTTTTAGCCTTCCTTGCTATAATCAGACAATTATTTGAAACATTATATGCTTGGGATGGGGAGAGAGAGAGACAAACTTGATTACACAACTGATCCTTCTGGAACAGTTACTGCTCTGTGGCAGGATTAGTTGTTCAATTTTAGTCTATTCATTTTATTCCTCAGGAGATAATTATTCCGAGCTATTGGTTCTGTTCATTCAACATGCCCAGACCTGCTTTACTTTTCAGTAAACATGTCCAGGTCTTGTAAGGTTTTCCTGTGTTTTCCAGTCATTTAAATTTAGTTACGGCAGCCATAGAACTTTGAATGGTTGAGTTTTAATTTAAATGATTTCCTAGAATCATAGAATTGTAGAGTTGGAAGGGTGTTCTAGTCCAGCCCCTTCAATGCAGGAATCCTAGCACATCCATCCCTGGGTGGGCTCAAACCACCAACTTTCTGATTAACAGCCAGACACACACTGACCCATTGCACCACAGAGGTTTAGTTATCCTTTCTTTGTGAAGTTCAAGGCTATATATTCATAATGTTCATATACATGAAGAGGTATCAAGGAAGGAAAGAATAGAATTTGTCACGGTTGTGCATCTCAAGCATCCATTATGGCTTGCTTACTGTGGGCTGCAATTCTGAAATCTGGCAAGGAACTTTATTGCAATGATGCTCATGCACTCTTTTGTAACTTTGCTTTATCTACAGTGGGCTTTGCTAAAAATCATGCAATAGATCAGAGCTCGGGGACTTATCTGTGCTTTCTGGATTCTGTAAGTGATTTTTAAAATTTTTTTTGCCAAATGTATTGCCTACCTGAAACAAAACGTTTAATTGTCCATTTCCTTTTTATCATTCTATGCTAATGGTTTTCCATAATTTGGTATAAAACTGTTTCATGTGGTTATGATGATTTGGTACTTTTTAAATTTAATAAGCATTCCACCTTATAAAACTCTGCTGCTGTATCTGGACATTTTCTTAGCCGTTGAGATACAGTGGTACCTCGGGTTACATATGCTTCAGGTTACAGACTCCGATAACCCAGAAATAGTACCTCGGGTTAAGAACTTTGCTTCAGGATGAGAACAGAAATCGTGCTCCAGCAGTGTGGCAGCAGCAGGAGGCCCCATTAGCTAAAGTGGTGCTTCAGGTTAAGAACAGTTTCAGGTTAAGAACGGACCTCCGGAACTAATTAAGTACTTAACCTGAGGTACCACTGTATTGGAAGTTTAAGTGGCACACACCTTTTAAATCTGCAACCTAGCTGGCACTTCTAATTGGATAATAGGTATTGTTTTACTTGATGTGCCATTTTTCTTAGACCTGATGGCATGAGAACAGAATAAAGAAAATTCAAATATTCTACTGTCAAATGGGTCATAATAAGCAACCACTATGTCGCGAAATAAATTTCATAACATGCACTCCAAATAATCCAGTATTACAGGAATTTGATAATAACAGACTTGCTTCTGTCCTCCAAAGTCCTTTCTGAGCAGGTAAGCAATTTGTTGCAAGAAGAAGATATCTGTTTCACATGAAAAGCCAGCAGGGATTTCTAAGCAAGGCCAGATGTTTTTATGTTGTTGATCTCCATCCACCTTCAGGAAAGAAGGCATTCAAACCACGTGTATTTGTGTCGGGTTTACCTACTTCCACAAGAGACTAGCCCTCAAATTCTGCAAAACTTAACCCTACTCTCAGTTTAGATGCTCCCTTTACAGTCAAGGCAGAGCACTTTAAATATATAGAGACCAATTTGCTATTCTAGGATGATTAAGTAGGAATTGTCCCCTTCTCACAGAAAGTGAAACTATGTGGCATCTAACCACAAACCCTCAGTTCACCCCCCAAAAAAAGTCTTTGACTGACTTATTTTGTACAGAAAAATCAGAAGTGATCTTGTGATATGTGGAAATAGCTTACATACATCATACACGCAATCAGCAAATAAAAAAGCACTTCAAACCAGCTGTCTTTCCTCCTCTAGTCAGCTTTTCAGTCCCCGTCCCCCTGCTAGCTGCCACTGTCCTCTGGTGGGGCCAAGAAACTGTAGTTCTATAGCTCTGGTAGATTTTTGAATGGGGTTTCTCTTGTCTGAAGAGGTGCAGTGGCTCATCAAGCACCTTTTGTGAGATTAAATGACAATTTTAATGAAGTGATAAGATTTAATTAATCTGTAGAAGTAAAGCATATAAATTTGCTTGCAGTGCAGGAAGAAGAGGCATATATTTAGTTCCTCTTTAATGCCTCTCAACTACAAACATTAGGATGAATTCAGGAGGCCCCCCAACCCACAAAAGCTTACCATGTACCATCTTGTGGAGCTGCATGAAGTGGTAGCTTCCTGTATCCCTGAGAAATCCAAGAATTTGCAGTAGTGGTAACACCGAGCTTAACCTAGTTGTCAGGGGCCACACATAGCCAACTCTACATGCAATTGTGGGGACTTTATACTGTAGCTGTGTGGCCTCTGGATATCTGCCCCCACCCACACTGAACTGCCACTAAATACAAGGTGGAATAGGAAACATACTGGTAAACCAAAACACATTGCAAAGGTGGGTCTGGATTTTTTTTTAAGAAAAAGTTTTCCTTCCCCATCAATATCTTGGACTAATGAATAAATAAATTCAAAACCACAGTAGTTCCTAGGATGTTAATCTCAATAAAACATGCTTTTGTCAAATATTCCTGAGCAATCCCCTGCCTCAATCCCCCCCTCCAAATGTGTGTGTGTTTCTAACTGAATTAGGACATTCCGGGGGGGGGGATATTTTAAGTACTCATCTTCTGTTCTGGCATCCTGAACTCAGAATCTCTTTCTCAGGGCTTGAGAAGAGATTATTCACATTCAAGAAACTCTTATTTAAAAGTTTATAATGATTACAGATTGTGTATATTTCGTAACCGATTCAATCTCATTGCCAGTTCAAATGCAAAAAATATCAATAAACCATCACCTACCAATAGATTTTTCTTGCATGTCTGCTATACTAGAAAAATAGAAGCAACACATTTTATTCAACCTATAACGTACCTGAATGTACAAGTACAACATTTTCTGAAGGTCAGTGCCTTGGCAGTAATCAAGAGCATTTCACATGACTGACACCAACATGATATTCTGAATAATTTGATACTGAATTGGTGAACTGAAACCAAGAATCAAAAGAGGTATATAGGAGCAGTCACAGATAATGTTAGCACACACAGCTGGTAACATCTGTTTTTCAGCAGTTATTGCATAGCACCGAGAAATTGATTCCAATGAGAATACCAAGTAATTCATGGATGCGTATAAATTTCAGGAATTTCTGTTATGTTAAACACAGAAAAAGACACAGAAAACAAATGTTGTTTATCAACACATCAGATTTTCAAGTTGCTTTGCAAAATAATTTTTAAAACATTGTGGTAATTTACATTTCTTCTAAACAAGCATGCAAGGAGAATGAGAAAGTGTGTGTGTGTGTGTGTGTGTGTGTGTTAAGACACAGAGACTACCTAATGAATATTTTTCCAGACTGAATTTTACTGTAGATCATAAAGATTTTATTGGGAATAAAATCAAAGGCTCTGAACAGTAAACCATCTATTCTACGTTCATGCCAATAGAGACTGTCCCTTTTGTTGGAAATAAACATTTATTTGAACACTTTGGACAGAAAAAGCTATTCTACCTTCAGTGTTGGATTCTGGAACATCTCCAGGAAAGAGAAAAAGAAGGAAAGAAAGTTTAAATAGTACAGGCACTTTAAATATAATCATGAAAACAGCTGTATAAGAACTTGAGCAGATGTGCATAACTAAGCAAACTTGCTCAAATCTAAGAATCTGTTGACCCTCAAATGTGTACTTAGATCTTATGTGTCTGTTGTTTCCCCATTTGTTTGAACTGAGGTAGAATATCTCACATGCAAATGAATGCACTATTGAAATGAATGCAGAAGTTGTTTGAGATAGGAAACCATATGCACACATGCAGGGCTTCTGGATCAGATCAATAGATCAGCACACACATTTCCAGTACAGTACTGGAGTTAAGAAATTAATTCATTTATTGCTTGCATCTGTGTAAAGCGGATTCCCTCCCCCCCAAAAAAAAATCACCCGCAAGTTAATCAAAGAAACAATGCTGAGTACGTTTGAGCACTTCTACAGTCCCTGTGAGTAAAGTGTCTAGATGGGTCAATGAGTCAGTTCCTCATTTAATCTTTTCATTCAAAATTGTAGGATTATCATTCTCTCTTTAGCAGAGATGTGAACAGTCGGAAATCTGCTATTCATAGAGCAAGTGGAAATATTTCAGTTTTACTGCCATAGGTCCTGCTAGGAATTTGTTGTTGTTGTTGTTTAGTCATTTAGTCGTGTCCGACTCTTCGTGACCCCATGGACCAGAGAACGCCAAGCACTTCTTTCTTCCACTGCCTCCTGATAAGCTGTATGGTTTACTTTCAAGTTTTTTGTTTTACCTTGAGGTAGATTAATTGTATGTAGCTACTGGCACAGATTTGTTTCCCAACCTTGTTATCATTTTTGGATAAACTGTAGTGTTAGGGTGGCTTCAAGTTCCTAGAACAGGGAGAGGGAACTAGTTGCTCAGTCTTGGACCAAGGGCTCCTTAATGTTCCCAATTGCAGCTCTTAATCCTTGTGATCCCCTGACTATGCACCTTAATTGCTTTCCCCACAAGCACAGCACTCCACCCCCTTGCTCAAATGACAGTGGCAGCAGAGGTTTTAGGAGAGTTCTCCCCTTTATGCTCTTCAAATATTTGCCCATGTGCAAGCTGGGACAGAGGCAAATAGGAGTGAACGGCTGCAACGTGTTAATGGGAGACTTGTTAGAAACTTCATAGGTGCTATGGTATAAAAAAAAATTAGGCAGCTTATGCGGGTAGTCTCTGTCCAAGGTGTCTTACAACAATAAAAATTATAAAATAACAACAACCACAAAACTATCAACAGACCCCGGAGAATAGCCAATAAAAAAGCTTTCGCAGCAAATTAAAACACTTCCCACAGCAGTAGCAAACCACAATCCAGGACATAAAGCATCAATCACCAATTAGCCCATTGGAAAAGTTACGTCTTTAGGGAAAGGCTTGAAGCGTGGGAGCCTGTCGAAGATCCACTCGCATGGCGTTCAGAAGTCGTAAGGTTACCAAGCTTGCTGATCTGTGAGATGGACACACATAGAAGGCCTCTCTTGTGCATCTGAATGTGTGGGTAGGCTGATATGGGTGCAAGAGGTCTATCGAATATCCTGGGCCTAATTTTTTAAAGCTTGCAACCAGACCCATTCCACAAGGTGGTAGACTTAGGTGGTTGAATTCTGGACTATACCACTTCACCATAGCTTTGCTCACTAATCTTTTAGTTTAACAAACTGAAAAACAATGTGTAGCAGCACTCATAAAAATAACCTCCCGCCTACAGGCTGAAGAAGTACAGTCAAGAATTTGACCCTCTTGGCCTGCCACCATATACTCGAAACTTGTAGAATCAGTAGATCATGTCTGATTCTTGAGGCTCATAATAAGATGATGGCTCTGAAGGGGTCTAGAGGAGCCCTTATGCTCAGCCAATACCACTGGCTCTTCAGCCTCAGTTCAAAATATGGCTTCTTGAATGAGTTGTTAATATGATGATCAGTCTATATGCTGGCGTTGATATGATTTACAAATACCTAAACAGGCAGATACGAGTGGGTTCAAATGGCTACAATATAGTATAGTCAGTGGTTTCAGTGATACTTTGGTTCAAATCCTAATGAAGCCTTTCTTTTAGCCTTAGTTCCCCAAGTATAAAATCAGAAGCATAACCATCTCCCTCACATAACTCTTGCTAGAGTTGCTAGGAAAATGATTTTAAAGTTATTTACACATCAATATACATACATAGCAAGACATAGTAATAGTATATTTTTGAACACTTAGGCTCTGCCGTGGGTAGGAAATTCTGAAATGTGGTTTGGTTTATTGTATAAAATGGTAACAGTTTCACTTTTGGTCTACTGTAAAAAGTTTTCCCCCTTCTAGTTCTAATTTATGTTAATTTTCTTTTGGGGGCTAAATTTACTACTCTGGTAGCCATGCATAAACTATTGAAATAAAGTGGTATCTGGAATCCCTCCAGTAGTTACAGCCAATTGTGTATTTTATAGTTTTGTACTTGGGCTAGTAAAGTGACCAGTTAATCTGGCAACCATCTCTAGTTATTGTTTGAGAACAGTGGTGGGCCCTCTTTCACATATAGTTACAGTGTGCCATTTATTACAGGATGATGTGATGATGCCCCAGAGAATAAGACTGCAGTGGGAAGCTGCTATTCAGCATCCAGAAAGTGTGAGTATTTCTCTTTGTCATTTTCTTTTAACAGTGAGGCAAGCAGCTTGTTTTAACAGGAAGGCTTGGGAAATGTTATAGTGGTTTTGATTGTAATGGGTGCTCCTTAATCTAGCAAATTTGAAGGAAATGTTTCTGGAAGTTTTTACTCAAGTACCTTATTTGTTTGTTTATATTCCATGAAAATTCTATATGTGACCTGATTTAAAAGCTTTATCTATTGCAAAAATGTGATAAATTAAACAAGGAAATGACCACTGTAGTTAATGAAAACAGAATTAATGACTCATCCATCGATTAACTTTGTGAAAATGCGAACAGATTAAAACGATAGTAACAATTGGGTTGTATCCAGCAGTGTCACTCAGCTGTGACAGTAAGGCTTCCATAAGACAAAAGTGGCAGGTTGCAAATTTCAGCCATTCTCTCCTGCCCTGCATCCCCTAAACCTGTATCAGATGGTTGAGTGACCCAGAATATATCGCTCAAACTGCTTTGTGAATTAACACTGTTAAGTACCTAATTATAATTGTCTATAATTTTCTGTATTTTGTTTCCTTCTCATCTCACTTTTTATACCCCCATGCATATATGTACCTGCAATGTAGAATAACTCCTTAATTTGTCTGATGCTTTCTGCAAAGGCAAGTTGGACGCTTCAGACGTTCTATAACTTTCCTTCATTGTTGACACAAAGCTGCTTTTTGGAGGAGTCTTCACTCTTGAAGGGATGGTGTACAGCAGGCATAAGCAAACTCGGCCCTCAAGATACTTCGGGACTACAACTCCCATCATCCCTGACCACTAGTCCTGTTAGCTAGGGATGATGGGAGTTGTAGTCCCCAAACATCTGGAGGGCCGAGTTTGCCTATGCCTGGTGTACAGTCAGAGCACCTCTAGAGCTGGATTAGGAAAAGATAAAAGAGAAGCATTTTATTGCTGAGGGGAAAGGTAGTAATGGCTAAGTAGACCCACCTACTAATGTTGAATAAGTTTTACAGTATTAAAGGTCCATATTTGGTAGACTGATATTGTCCTACAGAAGCATCCTTGATAAAGAGGTAGCACTGTAAAAAGGAATGTTCTTTTGCTTCTGTTTTTTAAGGACCCACCTCTTGTCTATAACACATTATAAACTGATTTTAATATGTAAATGGCTGTAATGCCTCCTGGGACAGGTGGTGAAGGGGCGTGTCAGAAATTGAAATTGAATGTGGAATAAAATATTACCTATAAGCCAGGAGGTTGCACAAGGGTTAGATATTGTTAGTCTGCAACTTAACTACCCTGCTGCACTGGTTCTGCTATGGATATCAAATTGCTGCTTTGCTTAGGCATATGAAAGGAAGTCGTTCTGAAGAACTTATTTTGCTATTGCATGGCTCATGTGAGGGAAAGCAACGTTGCATTTAATTTTTGTTTTCAGTTTCATAGTTTTAAAATAACTACTAAGTGAAATTGCTTGGCACTTGTTTCATTCTTGATGTGATGCTCTGTTAAAAAAACCCAAAAACCATAAGGGAAAGATGTGAAGCCATAAGGGGATGGGGCCAGATGTATAATAATCATTTTCTTTGAACTAGAATGAAAACAACAAAAGTGGAATGGCTTGAGTCTAATTTTTAGGCATTAATCCATACCACAAGATTACCATACATAATTTGGCAAGCAGCCTTGTTAGAGAGGCCCACAGATGACAAAGCTTCAAAAATAGTCTAATGGGCGCAATTTTTTCTTGCTAGTAAAATATAGATCTTATAGTTGATATGTATGAGCTCATATTCTGCCCAGTCTGATTTCACTTGTTTGGACATGTTGCATAATAGTGAGATGTTACTGGGGATGGAAATTGAACAAATGCATGGTTTTTTCATGACCCTGCAGGTGTCTTCGACTGTGGTTGCTGCTAAATCAGCGGTATGTGTGTTTGGTTTGGGCAGGCAATTCATTGCTGATCTGTGCCTTTGCTTTCTTTTGCTGGGTGTGCCATGTTTTTCTTTATCTTCTTTCGTTTGTTGCTCTGTTTTCACTGTTCTCTACTTCAACATTCATTCTATTAATATAAAGCTGGGGTAGGTAAGTATAGTTGCATGAGCAATGACAATATACTTCCTCTTTGGCCTGTTTAGGAAGCTGAACTACTGGGAGGGTTAGAGTTCTCTTACCACAGTTTTCTGTTGCAAGGCTGAGGAGTCATATGATGTTATGTCATTCAGAGGCAGCATTACACAGTGGAACAAGGCGCAACAGATTTGTGCAATGGATCCTTCTGCTTCATCAGCAATGTGTACGAAAATGATCCTTACATTTTGGCTGTTTGCTTTATTGGATGGGAGGTTTAATAACATACGAACTCAGCAAAGTCTGTATTTCTGAGTTTGGCCAGATCGAGGATGTCTCTCATTACCGATGTAGTTTCCCCTTACGTGAGCACCCTAGGCACACATTCCTTACTTGTATCTTCCAGTATGTGTCAAACAGACCCACCCTGGACATGATATGTACCTTGCTTGCAGACAAAGACTTGCTGATCATCAAAGTAGCAAAGAAAATACAAGGTAGATTCCAAAAAGCTTTGGGATGGGGGTGGGGCATTCAGATTGTGATTGTATTTTTAGCATCTTTATGATTTATTGTAGAAGAGTAATGTGTGGTTTACATGGAGAAGAGTATTATTTTTCTGCTTCCTTTTGTGTATATATGTTAAATATGTCAAAAGTATTTTTGTTTTTAAATCATAGAGCTGTAGAGTCGAAAGGGACCCTGAGAATCATCTAGTCCTACCCCCTGCAATGTAGGAATCTCAAATAAAGCATCCATGACAGATAGCCATCCAACCTCTGCTTAAAAACCTCCGAGGAAGGAGAGTCCTTCTGAGGGAGCCCATTTCACTGTCAAACAACCCTGAATGTCAGAAAGTTCTTCCTGATGTTTAGTTGGAATGCCCTTTCTTGTAACTTGAAGCCGTCAGTTCAGGTCCTACCCTCCGGAGCAGGTAGAAAACAAGTTTGCTCTAACTTCCATGTGACAGCCCTTATCGTGGTAGCCTGTGGCTTTAAACAATAGAGTTTCATTCATGAAAAGCAGAGTATAGAGGGAAAGAGAGCTGGTTTGAAGTGCTTTTTATTTGCTGATTGAGTGTATGGTGTACACTCTGCTTTTGAAGTTTGTTCCTGCCATCCATTCTGTATACTTTGTGCCGGGCTAACTTAGTTGCCCGATAGGCAGATATTGATAAACATTCTTAGCTCAATCAAACTTGGTTTTGCTACTACTGAGCTAAAATGGTTTGGTTAGTGTTGCAAATTTGTTTAACGTAACATAATCTCATTCATTAGCCTTGTGTTCAGAAAGCTCTCTGTCAGTTTGGGATTTTTGCTGCCCAACTCTCTAGTTCGCAAGTGTCCCAGTTGTACATATGTGCCTAAATTTTTTTTACCTTGTTTTCTAACTGATTGCGCTATTCTGCATAATGAATTTGCAGTAGTCAAGGTTTTTCCCCATATATTATCCGTTAAGGAAATTATTGAAAAATAAGTTTATCTAGTTTTAAGCAGATTGTATCTATTGTTTATGTGGAAACACAGTTTTTCCACTTGCACAATATGGATATTGGAAATGAGTTTTCTGTACAACAAAGTGTAATAAAGCTGAAGTACTGTAAAGTTCGTTTTTACTACGTTCATCTGTTATTCTATTGTTCCACTGTACAGTTGTCTGATGACTTCCTAATTTTGGGGTGTCAAAAAAGCAATGTGCAAGACCACTTCCTCCCCTTAATTTCTTTTAAAGCTGTCCCTGTGACCCTCGATTTTCCAACACCCATCAGCCTCAGATAGCATGGCTATTGGTTAGGAAAGGTGATAGTTGTAGTCCAAAGCATTTGGAAGGTACCGGCATGGGGAAGGCTGTACTAAATTATAGTTTACTACAGGGGTCAGCTAACTTTTTCAGCAGGGGGTCGGTCCACTGTCCATCAGACCTTGTGGGAGGCCAGACTATATTTTGGGGAAAAATATATGAAAGAATTCCTGTGCCCCACAAATAACCCAGAGATGCATTTTAAATAAAAGCACACATTCTACTCATGTAAAAACACCAGGCAGGCCCCACAAATAACTCAGAGATGCATTTTAAATAAAAGGACACCTTCTACTCATGTAAAAACACGCTGATTCCCGGACCTTCCACGGCGGGCCAGCTTTAGAAGGGGATTGGGCCGGATCTGGCCCCTGGGCCTTAGTTTGCCTACCCATGGTTCACTATTATAAGAATGAGCCTAAACCACCATTGGGCTGTGTTCTAGCAGGGCCACAAGATGGAGTTCAGAAGCTTTTGCTTCCATTTTTTTATCAACTGTAGCTTGATGCGTCATTTGAACTCAACAAACTGTGATTTATCTTAACCATGGTTTGTTTGAAACTACTGTTTAAGCTTTGGATGTAGAATTAACTGTGGTTCAATTGGAACTTTAAAACCTGATCTCCTTGAAGGAGATGGGGGAGGAGAATATGAAAGCTTGAAGTTTGTGTAGGTTCGTTTCCATCTTGCTAAAACTATGGTTTTAGTTGGAATCCGGCCATTGTCACTGTTAGTTTTAAATGGTTACAAATTCAACAGTCTCTTCTTCTGTAAGTTTTGGTGAATCTATGCTACAGCGTAAGGAAAAAGCCTGTTCTACATCCTTGACTTTTTTCTTTGTCTCCTTTTCACAAGAGGGTTTGGTTTGAATAACCTTCTAGACCTTTTTCCTTTTGTAATTACAAGTCTGCACCAGCATTTGGGCCATGCTGCCACCCCATCAGACAACAATATGAGGAGGTTTTCCTTATGCAAACACATGCCATTTAGAAATAAAACATCTATTGTGGCAAGGCTTTCTGAGTAAGGCAAGGTCTAAAGTAGTATTTTTCCTTGGAGTTGATATGCACCGGAAACACTTTTGTCTCTGTAAGAATGTATTTAAGCAGACCTGGGCATGTTTTGACAGGCAAAAAATAAAGGCCCAATAAAGAATATGAATACTATGAAAAACTGAAAAAGTTGCTTGATAATTAGTGGTAATCCCATTTCTTGTTAATGCAGGATGAACAGAGAAATACAGACTATTACAGCAAGATTTGGATTGTAGAGGCCAAACATAGATGTGTCTTATTTTTTTAAAAAAAAAGGAAAGAGAAGAAAATGATTGAAGACCTCTTTGTTAGCACTGTTTCAATTTTTATTTATTTAGTTAATATAATGCATACAAATTGAACATGGATGCAGCAGTGTTTGCTTCTGAGATGGAAGTAGGTATGCTAAGATCAGTTTCTTATAGCCTTGTGGCTCCGCAGGTAGCTGCTTCACTCCTCCATGTATACAGAACATGTGACTGAAAATTGTAACATAGGAATATTGACATATCTGAAGGAGCTGCTCATGCATATAAATACCTGTATACCTGAAGGAGTCTATAGCTCAGCCTGGACACTGAGGTCCTCCTCCGAGGGTCTTCTGATGGTTCCCTCACTCTGAGAAGTGAAGTTATAGGGAACCAGGCAGAAGGCCTTTTCGGCAGTGGAGCCCTCCCTGTGGAATGCCCTCCCAGCAATGTCAAGGGGATAAAGAACTACATAACTTTTAGAAGACATCTGAAGGCAGCCCTGTATCAGAAAGTTTTTAATGTTGGATATTTCCTATGTTTTTAAATGCACTGTAAGCTGCCCATAGTGGCTAGGGAAACCCAGCCAGATGGGCGGGGTATAATTCATAATAAAAATATTATTAAATGTAAAAGAAATAGAATTTAAAAAAAAATCAGAATCCCTTATTAACTTTCTGATGGCACCATCTGCATGTTTGACTAAGTGGTAGATGGAAGATCTGCCTTTCCTGCTAATACTGCTGAAGAGTTGCTAACTTGATACATTACACATAGGCTGTGTTATCTTGGCCAGCTTATAAACAAGTCTTGTGGCCCCACACGTAGCAGCTTTAGCCCTCCCATTACATGAGGATTAAGTCTGAAGTATTCAGTTACGTATAGCATTATGAAGTAGATAACTATGGTTAATGGCTTTGGAACAAGCAGGGTATGCAGAGCCAGGATGACTCCATATCCTGGCTTGTTCTGAAAATGTTAACCATGGTTTCTCAGTTTGAATGGCCTGTTTGTGTAGTAGTCAAGAGTGAAGTAGTTGCATGTGAGTGCACAAGGCTCATTCGTATCTCAGCTTATTGCTCTCTACAGTCTTTAAACCCGATTTTCATAACAGATGTGAAAGGAGATCCATCAAGCAATATCACCAAATTGAAGTCAGTCTGGCCTCAAGGTTGACTGATATGAAAATCAGTAGAGAAGCTGATAAATACTATTGGATTCTAGTTTGGATCTTTGATTTAATATATTGCTGCAATGTTTATGGTTTCTAAAAACTTGGAGTCTTGTATATCAGGGAATTCATCTTTCTGCAGCTACAACTGTGCCATCTGCGCACAAGAGCAAGGGATCAGCTGACTTGCAGGAATCCCAAGGTCTTCATGTATGCAAAGATTTTTAGGGGGGAAATCTAAGAGTAGAAACCAAAAAATGACCCAATGGTGATTGAGCGTACCTTGTAGTCATAAAATGTGGCTGACTGTTGGAGGGAGAGACAAATCAGAAAGGGTGTGGAATGCAATGGAGTAATCTAGTACAGTGGTACCTCAGGTTACAAACACCTCAGGTTACAAACATTTCAGGTTACAGACTCCGCTAACCCAGAAATAGTACCTCGGGTTAAGAACTTTACCTCAGGATGAGAACAGAAATTGTGTGCTGGCCTTTTGGTGGCAGTGGGAGGCCCCATTAGCTAAAGTGGTACCTCAGGTGAATAACTGTTTCAGGTTAAGAACGGACCTGCGGAACGAATTAATTTCGTAACCAGAGGTACAACTGTAAAAGGAATGACTGGCTGTCTGGGACCCTGAACAGAAGCGGGCTACACTGCAACATTGTTTTGCAAGTATATTCATGTATGTATATTCCACAAACACCAAGATTTGGTGTGCATTGCATTTTATTTTAAATAATGACTGGAAAAGTCTGCTAGTTGCAATTTAAATCTTCAGAATAATGTTCTGTAGCTTTAGTTCAGAAAAATAATCTCTTAAAATCTGTTTAATTTCAAGCATTCATGAAGTTTGAGGGATAGAACTGCCAAATGTAATGCTTTCAGTATAACAAACAGATGTTCTGGGAGTGATGCACAAACAAACTGTATATAAAATAGAATGTGTACCCTTTTAAAACTCTTGACAATAGAACACCTGGAATGGATGTCTGTACTAGGATTCTGAGATCCTGAACCTGCAAGATGGTCTTGGTGTGAAAAACTGCCATGATACTGTTGGAATTATTTTAGTGTCTCCCTTGGCACCTAAGCCCCTGGAAATATCATTTAATAGACACACACTTGGCTGAAAGAGCAGTACTGGAAAAAATGTAAGAATGACTGGAGCAGTACTGGAAAAAATGTAAGAATCCCAAGTAGTGTGAAGGAAATGGGCACACAAAAATCTCTGTATTGGAAAAAGGGTAGTTTATTGACGCTGGAAGTGCAATGCTTATGGCAGCTTTCATTAATTGGGTGTTTCCACATAAATCCATTGAACCATGCTTGAATTTAGCGGTGTGTTTGTTTTTCATTAAGCTAGGCCTGTAGATTTTTCTTTTTTTTAATTTGGTGTTTCTGAAAAACCACAATGGATTTTCAAAGCTAGTTGTAGTTCAGGACTGTTCTAAATTTTAATGAAACGTCACAAATGAAAACCATCCCTTCTGATACAACTTTGTAATTAAATTTATATCCAGTATGGCCTCCACATGCCAATAACCACATCTAACAATGGTTCTGTTTCTACAGCGCTATAGTCCTAGATTCATAGTATACAGCCGAATAGATTCTGTATTATATTCTCATGCATAAAACTGGGGCTGGAGTTACTAAATGTTAAAAAGATCATGTTCTCTTCCTCATGTATCGGGCAACTAGCCATGGGCATTGCATGAGATGTGATATCTTTTATGGAACCCATATGTATGTTTACTGTTGGCACGTTTCTGCTAAAGCAGTACAAAAAACCAAAATCCTAGCCCCAGCTTTCTAGCCAAATAGTTTCCCCTTTGTAGTGGTTATTTATGGGTTGGGTTTCTTGTTTCATCAGCTTCTAGGACTTTTCACCACTAAGAACTGCACTGGAATCATGCCAGGGGCCTGAGGATTCCATTTAATCTGCATAAGTGAAAGTTTCATAAGCCTTTGAATTGACCTGATTCCTAGTTAGCTGTTTGCTTGTTTTTGCCTCCATATAATGACTAATCTGCCCCCTGCAAGTTTGGTAGGGAGACATGCATCCTCCATTTGACCCAAAGTTTCTCCTGTAGTTGTGAGACAAAAACGGTAATCAGAAAATGATTGTGGACAAAGTAATTATTCAACTTGCAGTAGCATTGATCTGCAGATGGGGGACATAATGAAATCTGCCCCATTTATTACCATGAAGTTTGAATATATCAGGAAGGGCTTTTTATTCCTCAGATGTTGGCTCAAGCAAGTTTTGTCCTTCGTGAATGAAAAGAGTTGGAAGAATGTTAAGCCATAGCCACAGGAAAAAGGTGACTAGGGAGAGGGCAGGCTGAGAATTTCAGAGAGAGAACATATAGTCTTAAATATTGAGAGGGATATTACTGTGTTTGCAATAACTACTGTTTTCTATAATTAATTAATGATTGCAGTTGCCATGCCTCCTGTAGCCTCTGCACCATAGAATGGGGACTGTTGAGCAGAATTGGGAGTTCTGAGCAGATAGCAAACGACTGTTGATAAATTTCAGTCAACCATAGTTAGCTTATTGTGCATTTGGAGCTCAGCCATGGTTTGGGTTCCGAGCTATGATTAGTGCAAATTAAATTCATGGTTAATGGAAGGCATTTGTAAAATCCAAGCAGGATGTACGTGAACATGTTCATATGTATCCTCTCAAGGAGCAGCAATTTAGGTACCTGTGCAAATTTTTTTGCAATAAAGACTTCATCTTGGTAACTGGATGAATCACAGTGAACAGAAGTAGTTTACTCCCTATTGTTTTGGCACTGCAGAAGCTGAGTACTGTACTTTACTTTGGGGATTTCAGTGTTTCAGAAGGTAGATGTGAAAGCACACATAGATGTACTTTAGCTTTGTAACTTTTTTTTCTGTGGCTTTTTGCAAAAGGCTATGACCTCACCCTTCATACACTGAGTGTTGTTGTTTTTTTAAAAAAAGATATTTGATTAAAAATTACAGGTGCAATATACAGATTATGAATTTATTTAAGTTTATTCTACATAAAATGGAGGTAGGATGTCCTCTTATTAAAACCACATGTGATTATATTTTAAACCATTTATGGAAGCAAGGCTTCTCATCCATTTAAAACCTTCAAGGTAATATCCTCAGTGGTAGCAGCAGTGTTAAGTTTGCCATGTTCTCCACATAGACCTGAGGCGTAGGAAATCGTTTCAAAGCCAGGTCTCTCCTGGAGTCTTGGAGCTGTTCAGATACATGGCTTTGGCTCAGCCCCATCTCTACAGCAGTCATTAACTATAATCATGAACACATGAAAACATGACTTTTCTTCAAAGGAAAATGAGAGAGGGCAGCTTGTTGGTGAAATTTTAGAACTTCCTTCTAATTTTCCTTTTGTTTTTACCTGCGGCAGCACTTCTGAAACTCATTTAATTTGCATTCCATCATAATCTAATACAGCTTGTTCCATTCCAACTTACTGTGGAATGCCTTTAACATATTACTTTATGCTGTTCCTTTGAAAATTTGTTGTTTCAGGTTCCTCTCGACTTCCTTTGAATGGCAACATTTTGTGTTCTACACGTGCGATGTGTTAAGTTATAAAAGGGGGGAAATGTTCCTTAGTATCAATAGAATTCAGTAGAATTCAGTAACTGAACTTGTGGGTTTATATACCAAGGTTTGCTGCAAGCAGTATTTATGTATACTGAAGTATTCCTTGAGTGGTATTTTATACAGATTTGGGCAGCTTATTTGAATGCAGAGATGAATTATGTTTATTACAGGCTTGTGACTGTCTCTTTGCCTCAAGCCAGTATAAATCG